CCACCAATTTGTTCGTAAGAAACGACTTGTTTGGGAATGATAGAATTTTGATTAGTATTTTGAAACGTAATGCGTAATACTTTTAGAGAGTCAAATTCATCTAAACCAAGTTGATGTGGAATATTAATAGTAATATCTAAAGAAGTTATACTTTGTGGCAATTGAATAGGTGTAAAACCTTTAACATTTGTTAGACATTGTAATTTTTGAATATTTCCACTTCCATTTACCAAAAAATATGGAAGATAATTTTTTAATGCTTTATAAAATCCATTTAACTGAGTTCCATTAAGATACTCTTCATTATTTTCTCCAAACCAATGACAATTAATAATTTCTTCAGGAAGATATTCCAGTTGATAAATATCTTCTTGACTAAATTCCCACATTTTATTCCTGATAATAACTCTTTCATCTATTCCAGTGTAATATCCTTTGTAAACAATCGTACTTCTTGAAAAAATAAATGGGACAGATGAAATAATATATTCAAGTCGATTTTTAGTGTCGAATTCAAGAACTATTTTATCAAATAAATACAATGGAAGTGAATTAATAAATTCTTCATCAACGTAATATTGAAAATTCACTAAAACAAATTGAAGGTGTTGATAAGTATTAGGAAAGAATTCTACAAGACTTGAATGACTTAAGTGAACACGTAATGATACTCTTTGAAGATTTTTGAATTGAGAGAAGTCAATAAAATCATCATAAATAAATAGAGATAATACTGTAATTTTTTCTTTTAAATTTCCAATGAATTGTAATTGAGTAGAGTCTATTTCAGTTGAAAATATAATTTGTTGAATATGTTGTGGATTATAATGCAATAAAAATGATGAAAATTTTGAAATTTTGATTGCTAAAAGTCTTGGAAATAATTGAACTTCTTTAATAAATATTGACTGTTCTTCTGCACTCGTTATTTCATCACATCCACAAAACCCAGGATTATATCTTAAACTTTCAACTGCTGACTTACATTTCTTATTCACTAAAGTAAATGTATAAACATTCTCTAATGACTTTAAATAAGGAACTACTTCACTAAGAAAAACTTTTGGTAATTGAAAAGTAAATTGCATTTACTCAATTAAAAATGAAAGTCTCAGTTCGTCTAACTATTTTTTTAAAATAATAAATGAAGAATAAATGAGTTAATGATTAACTCAAACAAAATATAAAATATATTAAGATAAAAACACAAGAAAAAAAAAATCATCACGAAAATTATAAAAGATGATTAAATGAAATGAAAAAAAAAATAAAGAAAACCCAAAAAGAAAAAAATATTTTACCATCGAAGAAATCTCTTATCAGCAAATTTACTAAAAGATAAATATAAATTAATGAAATAAAAACAAAATAATGAACAAACCGTGGTGAAACTCTTGTTAAAATGAATAACAAAATTGCGATGATTACAAAAACGCCACCAGTTGCCATATAAATAATTCCTAATGCAGGGTTTTTAGAACCAAAAACAGAAGTAGTAGCTAAAATAATTGTTTTTGTTCCTTTGAAACTTTCAACAGGGAAATTATTAACAACTTTAACAGTAACATTCCCTTTTACTTCTTCAACATTTTCAATAATTCCTGTTAATTTACGGAAAGTAGAAGAAACAGCAGGACGCATCCAATTAATAAAATCAGGATCAGTGTAAGAATTAACAACTTTAATTCCATTACGTTCAGCAGGTTCTCCAAATAATTTTTTATCAGACTTCCAATTAATATTTTCTTTATTTAATTCTAATAAAACTGATGAAGATTCTTTTTCAGGTTGCATTGTAATTTCAAAAGAATCATTGAAAAAAGAAGCAGCGACTAAACCACATGGTTCATAAAACATATGAGGATTTTTAGAATTATTAAGAGATATTAAAGGAGTACAATCACTTAACTGAGAATATGTAGAAATAGGATCTCCTTTTAATTGTTTATTTGAACGAGAACGTAAATATTCTCTATGATTTTGATAAAAGTTGGTTAATTGATAATACACATAAACTGGTGTTTTCATTGGTTTTGGAATATTAAATTGAAATTCACAAGTTGCTCCTTGTTTACACGTTAATGCTGATCCTTCTCCAACGTATTTAACTGAATACTCTTGACAATTATTTGTTACTACAAACACTGCAATTCCTATTGGAATAAAAATAATTCCTGTTATTAAGAAAAATAAAATAACTGTTAATGGTCTATATAATGGAACACATGATTTCATTTCTTGTTGTTTAAATGATGTACTAAAAGTCTTAGACACAAGTCCCTTTACTTTCTCTGACATTCACTTTTCTTCACTGCTTTTTTAGTTTTTATTTTCTTTTTTTTTATTTTTCTTTCTTGTCTTTTTTGTTTTTTTTATTACTTTTTTCCTTTATTTCTTTCTTTTAAATTTTATTGTTATTTTTTTTAACCAAAAATTCTTACCAAAATGAGAAGTAAATTAAAACGCTTAGAAGCATTTTCTGTGGACAATAGCTGGTCCGGATTCATCATATTCTTCCTTGGTAATCCACATGTTTTGGAATGTAGAAAGTGAGGCAAGAATTGATCCTCCAATCCAGACTGAGTATTTTCTTTCTGGTGGGGCAATAACCTTAATCTTCATTGTTGGTGGTGCTAATTGAATCATTTCCTTTTCAAGTCTGGTGTTAATACCTGGATACATTGATGTTCCTCCTGAAAGAACAATATTTCCATAAAGATCCTTTCTGATATCGACATCACATTTCATAATTGAATTGTAGGTAGTTTCATGAATACCATTGCATTCCATACCAAGGAATGATGGTTGGAAGAGGGCTTCTGGGCATCTGAATCTTTCATTTCCAACAGTAATAACTTGTCCATCTGGAAGTTCATAGCTCTTTTCAAGTTCACTGCTTGATGCAGCTTTTTGCATTTCTTCATTGAAATCTTCAGCAACATAGCAAAGTTTTTCTTTAATATCTCTGACAATTTCTCTTTCAGCAGTAGTAGTGAAAGCATATCCTCTTTCAGTTAAGATTTTCATGAGATAATCAGTAAGATCACGTCCTGCAAGATCAAGTCTAAGAATAGCATGTGGAAGTGAGAATCCTTCATAAATTGGGACAGTGTGTGAAACTCCATCACCTGAATCCATAACAATACCAGTAGTTCTACCTGAGGCATATAATGAAAGAACAGCTTGAATTCCAACATACATAGCTGGGGTGTTGAATGTTTCAAACATAATTTGAGTCATCTTTTCTCTGTTAGCTTTTGGATTCATTGGGGCTTCAGTTAAAAGAACTGGATGTTCTTCTGGTGCAACTCTAAGTTCATTATAGAAAGTATGATGCCAGATCTTTTCCATATCGTCCCAATTGTTAACAATACCGTGTTCAATTGGATATTTAAGTGTAAGAATACCTCTCTTTGATTGAGCTTCATCTCCAACATAAGCATCCTTTTGACCCATACCAGCCATAACTGAAACGTGTCTTGGTCTACCAACAATGGATGGGAATACAGCTCTTGGTGCATCATCACCAGCAAATCCAGCTTTACACATTCCTGATCCATTATCTACAACAAGTGCTTGAACTTCTTCGTCTCCCATAATTAATTAATGATTTAATAGTTTTTGAAGAGTGTTTAAATAGTATTATGTTATTTCTATTTTTATCATTCTAAAAGTTTATTGTCGTTGTATTTCTTAGTTCAACTCCTTTTTTAAAGTTTATCTTCGTTACTTCTTTTTTTTTTCTTAGTTCTTATCCTTTTCTCTTTTGTTTAAACTTATTAAAATAAATTAATTTATTCATTCCTTTTTTTTTAATTCTCAAAATCATTATTTTATTACTACCTTTTATCTTTACTCATTATTCCCTTTCTGCTTTAATATTTACTGTTTATTTATTTTGTTTTACTGATAATCTTTCCATTTTTATTTACTGTTATTACTCAATAAAATATCATTTATTTTGTATGATTCATATTCTACTATTTATAATTTTAAAATATTATCATAACTTGATGTTTAATTCTTATTCGTTTATTTCTTAACTATTTAGTTCGAATGACTAGTAACTGTTAATTGGATAATTATCATCTATTTCTGAATTATCTAATTAGTCTTACATTAAAGCATTATATAGAATATATTAATGAAAGTTCTTCATTATATTATAACAAGTGAGACATTATAAATTTATGAATATCTATTATAATATTAAATTATCTGGAAATTGAATATATCGAACATTATCTTCTTTTATTTTGTCTTCCTTGACAAAAGAGCAGTTTTAAATGTTAAGTACTTATTGAAATTAATGTTTTTAAAACAATCTGCTTGTTAGTATTTACAGTATTGACTAAATATGAATTGAATGTAACTTTTATTTATTGAATAAACTCTTCCTGAATATGTATTTCTTAAAATTTATTCTTCCTTATTTATCAGCTAGTTAATAGATGGTTATTTATAACATATCTCTAAAAAGAAATAACAGAAAGAAGAATGAGAAACAACATAACAATATTCAAAATGAAATAATAAGGATTGTTATAATGATAATATCAATATATTTGATGGTATTAATGATTGTATTAATTTAGAAATTGGTGTTAAAAGATTCAATGAATATGAATAATTTCATTTTAAACTAACTCCTTTGAAGCATTATTCAAGAATATTATTTAATAATATTGAAACATTTCATATTTATAATAAAGATAATGAAATATTAAAAAGAATAGAATATTGAAAGACAGTGAATATATTATTGAATATATCATAAAATAAATTTCTTAGAACCTTATTCAGTCAATACATTGACTTGTAAATATTTATAAGAAAAAACACTTTTGTGTCATGAAGTATGAATAAAATGTTTATCACAACTTTATAAATTGTATTGAATTTTATTGTGTTTTATTCAATTAAACTCTTAATTAGATTAGTTGTTTAAAAACAACAATAGTATATTAAAAGAAGAAAAGAATCAATTTATTTTTATTAACTCAATGTAACAACAAATCAGTGATTTGTTTTAAATATGAAAAACCATCTTCTTTGAGTTGAAGTTGTTTTAATGCATCAAGTGCCTTTTGGTGATGTCCCTTAATTTCTTGTCTAACAACTTCACTTGGTTTTCCTCTAAGAATGTTCAAGAATTTAGTAAAAGCTTCTTGGTTGTCAAATGCTTTTTCATTTAATTTCAAAATTCCTTCTACAAACTCTTTCTCTTCTTTACTCAATACTCCTTCTTTTAATGCAGTCCATACAACTGCTGTTTTCTTTCCTTCTTTGATATCGTTTCCCATTTTTCTTAACTTACCATTTAATGGATCAATATCAAGTAAATCATCTTCTCATTTGGAATGCAATTCCAAAATGTTCTCCCCATTCCTTTCCAAGTTCAATATCATGTTCTGATCTACCAGCTAATGTCAATCCAATGGAAGCAGTTGTCTTAAAGAAAATGGCAGTTTTCATAATAATATTTAAGTTATACTCTTCTACAGTATTTAAACCACTCATATCAAGTATTTGTCCATAGTTTAATACACTAAATAATTCTAACACCATTTCTGCTATATTAGTTCCAGACTCTAAACAAAGTCGTTGTGCCATTGAATAAAGAATATTGCCTGTCATAATAGCAAGGGAACTAGCATAGGTAGTACCACGAGACATAAATAAAAATTTTTCTGTTTTGACATCTTCTTTATTTCTTTCAATGTATTTATCATAAAATGTCTTTACTATTGTTGGTGCATTTCGTCTCATTTCATCTTCATCCATTATATCATCATGTGCAAGTGTAGAGTCATGTAATAACTCCATTGCACATGCTGTACGAATTATGTTCTTTTGTTCTTCAATCTTTCCTCCTCCTCCAATGAAGAACAAAAGTAAGCTTAATGGTCTGAGTCTTTTACCTGGTCCCATAACAAATTTCTCCATTATATCAATACATTCTGCTTGAAACTGATGACAAGTACTTCTTTTACGTTCTTCTTCAAAAATCTCTTTTAATTTTTCTTCAACAAGTAATACAAGTTGTTCCATTGACTAATAAATTTTGGTTAAACAAAAAATTTAAGTTCGTCTAGGGTCTTTCAAAAAGACACAATTTATTTAAAATAATTTATTATTTATTCTTCAATACTTGTTTAAATGCATAGTTTGTTGTTGATAAAACTATATTTATTATAATATTGTATTATTATTTATTAGTATAATTTTAAATTCTGGATTACAAACCGTCTATATGTCATTATAGAAGAAATGAATGATTAATAAATATAATTGACGAATATGTTATTGAATTAGTAAGAACAGTGATGTACTACTGTATAAGAGAAAGTGAAATTGGAAATAACATAATAGATAGATGGTACAGTAAGAATGGAATATTGAATAGAATTAAAAACAATAATTCATAAAATAAATGAAACAAAAATAGAAGAAATAATAAATGAATTTATTGAAAAGAAAAAAGAAAAAGAAGTAGTAGTAGAAATAAAAAATAATGATAAATACATCAAAAAATGGAAGTGTCATCAAATTAGTGGATATTTTAGAAGATGGTTTGAGTCAAAAGGAGTAGATAAAACTACTACAGTGAAAGCATGGAAGTCAATCAATATTAAAAAAAATGCATTTCTCCAATTAACTAAAATGCAAGATGGAGCAATATTTTGTAGGTATAGAAAAACAAAAATAATAAAAAATGAAAGATTAAAATACTCAACACTTTGTAAAGACAAGATAGCAACAGTACAACACATTCTACTATCTTGTATTTATCATAATAAATCACAAATAGAAAAACATGACAATATTGGCATTATAATATTGATTAATAAGAAAACATACAGGAAATAAACAATATAAAAAACTTCATATGAAACAACATTCTAATGTAAATACATTACAATGATATGGAACAAACAAATAATGCATAAAAGTGAATGACAATATCACAAAATACCAGACATATATATATATATTAGATAAAAAGAATAAAACTGGTTTATTATTTGATATGACTATTGTGGCTGATCACAATATTAATGGAGTGTATTTGAAGAAAAGAAATATGTATAAAGAATTAAAGAATATTCTAATGAAAATAGAAAAGTTAAAAGATGTCAAAATAATTCCAGTAGTAATTTTAATAAATGGATTAATAAACAAAGAAAGTATTAAATTAATTAAAGAATTAAAAATTGACATTGACATCGAGAAAGAAATTAAAAACCTTGTAATAAAAAACATGATGTAATGTCATTGAATACTGCTTCTATCACAATCAAACATACTCCGTAGAGATAGTAGAAGAAAATATATGGAATTAGTCAGTCTTTAATGAAAAAAGAACAATAAAATTAATTCTTATTTAATTACTTATAATTTAATTTTTTATTATATTATTAACTAAAAATAAAATAAAAGAAAAATTTCTTAACATCATTTAGTATGTTCAGTTTTTCCTCTAAAACTGCTATCCCATCCAAATCTCAACAATACATACCTACAAAACCTATGGCTGCTCCTCGTAGGGTTGAACAATTATCAGTAAATTCTCCTCTTAAAAAAGAAATTGAAAGTAAACCAAAAAAAGATGATGAAAAAAAGCCAACCCAATTGTCGTTGGATATGTTTGATGTTGGAAAACCACTTGGTCAAGGAAAATTTGGAAATGTTTATCTTGTAAAATACAAAAAATAGTTTGTTTTAGATATTCATTTATTAAATAAGGAGGAGTTAATTCATTAGTGACTATGTTTGTGCATTAAAAGTTATATTTAAAAGACAGTTACAACAATACCGGATGGAGATTCAAATGAAAAGAGAGATTGAGTTACAATCTCATCTTAATCATCCTAATATTCTCAAATTATTCGGACTTTTTGAAGATAAAGACAGGTGGTTCCTTGTTCTTGAATATTGTAAGAAAGGTGAATTATATGGGTTATTACAACAAGCTGGTCGTTTTGATGAAAGAAGAGCTGCTCGATACATAAAAGCAACAACTGAAGCTTTAAAGTATTGTCAAGAGATGAATTGTATTTGTTGTGATTTAAAACCAGAAAACATCATGATAGATCACAATGATCAAGTCAAATTAGCTGACTTTGGATGGTCTGTTCATACTAATACTAAAAGAAATACTTATTGTGGTACATTAGATTATTTATGTCCTGAAATTGTATTAGAAAAATATTATGATGGATCGATTGACCAATGGTGTTTAGGAGTTTTAACATTTGAACTATGTACTGGTGAACCTCCATTTCAATCTAACAGTCGTGAAGAGGTTATGAAAAAGGTCAGAAATGTTAAATATTCTTTTCCAAGCTATCTCACAAATGATTGCAAAGATTTTATTAACAAACTAATTCAATATGATCCTTCTAAAAGAATGAGTTTTGCTGAGTGTTTAGTTCATCCATGGATAGTCAAAAACACAACAAATTGACTTTTATTTTCTCGTTATTTTATTTTTTGTGTATTTAAACTTAAAAACAATAAGTAATGGAAAAACAATGGGAAAAATATCAAATTTTACATTCTAAAGATGTAATACTTGAAGACTCACATGATTGGACATTAAATACATTATCACGTGTTGGTGTTTGTTTATTTTGTTTGTTTATAAGTAGAACATTATTAATTGATATGATAAATTATTAATAATTAGGGATTGGATATTTCATTTTCAACAAATCATCCAAATTTTGCAATTGGTTGTTTAGTTGTTTGTGAATATCCTTCTGGAAAAGAGTTATTAACATTAACATATCGTAAAATAATTACAATTCCTTATATTTCAGGATTTCTTGGATTTAGAGAAGTAGAAGTTTATCATGAACTACTCAACGATTGTAAAGAAAAGTACCCTGAGTTATATCCACAAGTTGTGCTTGTTGATGGAAATGGATATTATCATCCTCGAAGATTTGGTTCTGCAACTCATGTTGGAGTTTATTGTGATATACCATCAATTGGTGTTGCAAAGGTTTGTATTTTTTGTGTTTTATCCACAGAATAGTTGTAAGAATGTAGACTGTATTATGTGTTGATGGGATAGGAAAGAAGGAGATTAATATAATTACTTCACAAATCAAACCAGGTGAATCAACTACAGTTAGTACTTCAAATGGAGAAGCGTTATGTGAGGTTATAAGAAGTAGAGGTGGTAGTATAAATCCAATCATTGTTAGTTGTGGGAATAAAGTTTCACTTTCAACAGCAGTAATTATCTGTAAAGAATGTTGTTTACATAAAATCCCAGAGCCTATTCGACTAGCTGATTTAATTTCAAGAAAGTTGTTAAGAGATGAAGGATTACTCCCACACATGAATTAGAGATAAGCAAAACGAAAAAGAAGATTAAAATTATTACATATAAATGAAAAGTCAACAATATATTTCTTTTCAAAAAAAGGAATTAACAAATTAAACTTCAATCAATCATTTACAATGATTAAAAAAAGATACAACTTGAAGAGATTTATCTGTCAAATATTGTATTATATTTTAATAGCATAAAAATAGGTGAATTGTTTACATTAATAAATAAAAAATGTAAAGACTCACTTCAAATGTTACATATCAATCCATCATATTCTGTTGAGAAAGTTAATGAATATTTTCATATTAAAGAATGTAATTTTCAACTCCAAAAATCGTTTATAAAAGAAATGAAATTATTCCCTCATCTTGAAACAGTGTGATTTACAGAACAAACTATTCAATTTCTTCCATTAATTCCTTCACAAATTAAATTGATTCGACTTCTGTTATTAATCCAAAATCTACAATATTAAGAAATGATTATTAGAAAGTAAGAATCGCTTCATTAACATTAAAAAATCCTAAATACTCTTTTGATCTTTCAGAATTTACTTCTTTAACAAGTCTATCACTTAATATTAAGAAACACATAAGAGTTAATGATTTTATTAGAAATAAATATCATCGTTTTGAAAGAGTCTATGTTATGATGGAAGGATTTGTTGATATCAACTTTATTAATCACATTGATCAATTCAATATTAGAAAAGTAATTATTGAATTTGATAAACAAGAAATATCAGAATCAGTCATTAAAAATAAGAAACTCCTTAAAAGAATTACATTTTGTTACAAAGAATGTTATTATGCTATTTCTAATGATGGTATTATTCACAATAAACGATTAGTTGATGGATTTGAAATAACAGAAAAAGGATTTAATAATGATACAATACTTCAGTATTATTCTGAACATATAAAAATAAATGGATTTATCAACAAGAAAATTGAAATGGATTTTAGTTCATTCACATTCATAAAATCAATCAAATCAACAACATCTTCAATTTGTTTCAATCCACCAACTCCTTTAACACATTTAGATTCAAAATATTTCTATGAAATATCTTCTCTTAAAGAATTACATCTTCAATGAAAATATATTCAACATTTATCTCTTCCTAATAATTTAACAGCTTTAACAATTACTGATTTTATTCAAATTTCTCATTGTTCTCAATTAATTCGACTTTCTTTGTGTTCAAACAAATCATTTCCAATTATGTTATATCGAATGTTAAGATATTTGTCATTGTCATGTAATACTTGTGGTAGTCTTTGTTTATTAACACAATTAAAAGTGTTGTACTTAAACAAAATCATTAAAAGTGTTGATGTTGAATCATTTTATCCTACTTCATTAGAATTTTTACAATGTCATTCTAATTCTTTACCAATGAAATTATTAATTACACAATTAGTATTAAATGATTCTTTAAACAACATAATATCCAATATTATTCATATCTTTGTAGTTTAAAAACATTGGGATTAATTTCATATTCAACTTTACTTCCTTCTTCTTTGACTTCTTTAACTGTATCATGTTTTGGTTTGTCACAAAATCATATATCATTTAGTGAAATAAATTGTATTAATGTTCAGCAACTTCACATTGAAAATTGTAATACTCATAATGTAGAATTACCATCTTGTCTTGATTCCCTTTATCTTCATTATTCTGAGTTTGAAATAACCAATACAAGTATAGTTTATATTTTGATTCTTAATGAAAGTAAAATTAATGAAGAAATGATTCAAAAAGAATTTATAAAGAATTTCTATTGCAAAAGATCAAAAGAAAGTGAGTTTATTAACATTGAATGGTATTTATCACTTCCTCAAGTAAATTTTTGTTATTGTCAGAAATAAAAAATTTGTTATTTTTACATTAGTTTTAAAACTAATAAAAATAATTAATTGATGAATAATGAAGTTTCAATATTCTTTTATGGCGATTCAAATCTTTATGGAATTGAAGCTGTGACTTATAAACGTTATTCTTCCAAAGACCGATTTTCTAACATTGTCATTGAACAATTAAAAAAAGAATTTACAAAAGTCAATTGTATTGTTGATGGAAAACCTGCTCGTTCATTGAAATATGAAAACATCCCATTTGGCATTACTAATGGATTAAAAGACTATGATCAATTCTTATTAAAGATTACCTCCAATCCATTTTCAACAAACAAAGTATTAATCCTTGCATTATGTATTAATGACATTCTTTCAAAAGCAACTTCACAACAAGTTATTGATGCATTGCAACAATACATCGAAAAAGTACAAAAACAAACAAAAATAATTATTTTAATTCCACCACCACTTCAATACTGTACATTTGATAGTTGGAAATCCACAGTAAATCCAGTGATTGCAGAATCATTGAATTTTGTTCATCAATTAAAAGTTGTTGTTGAAATGTGGAAAAAGCAAGAAATAATAGATGGATTTGTTGATTTAGATGGAATGAGTGTTGGAGCAGATGGTGTTCATTTCACATCTGATTCACATCACAAAATTGCAGAAAAATTACTTTCAATTCTTCATGATGTTTTAAATTGAATTATTTTTCGCAGATTTATAAAGTCAAACAGGAATAAAACACAACATAAAAGAACTTAGATTAATTGAAGAAGAAGTAAGACTTTTTATGACAATAAAATCAATAGTTATTTATGCTGATGAAGGGACTATTGATGTTTGTGTTTATTACTCAATAAAAATGCTTCATTCTCATTACCAAGAAGCTCAAATAAGAAAAATATATTCTAATGAGTTAATTGAAGGTAAATGGATTTATGAAACTGATTTGTTTGTTATGCCAGGTGGTGCTGATCGTCCATTTCACAAAAAACTCAATGGCAAAGGAGTTGAAGTATTAAAAGAATTTATTAATGATGGTGGAAAGTATCTTGGAATTTGTGCAGGAGCATATTTTGCATCATCATTTATTGAATTTAATAAAGATGTTGCAAATGAATTAACACTATGTGAAGAAAGAACATTAAAACTCTTCAATGGGATTGCTCATGGACCAATGTATCAAGGATTTGAAGAATATTCTGAACGAGGAGCTGTCATAATTCCTATTTATTATCAAAACAATGAAAAAGTCGAACTTTATTATAATGGAGGATGTTCATTTGTTGACAATTTAAATCAATACAAAGAGAGTCATTTTCTTGCAAAATATCAAAATGGAATGAATGCATTATTCTTTGACATTATTGGTAAAGGAAAAGTTATTCTTTCTGGTCCTCATTTTGAATTAGACATAGAATGGTGTGGTAAAATGCTTAAAGAAAGTCAGAAAAGTGAATTTGAAATAAAGAGAAAACTCTTTTTGAAATATATTTTTTCATATTTTTAATTCCATCATTGTTTAATCATCTTCATTTTTATTATTTCATTTGATGATCACTACTATCAGAGTGTATAATGACATTGGAACATCTACTCTTTGTGTTTATAACACAATTCATTTATTTCATCATTTTTTCCCTTGTGCTAATGTTTTTGTAATTTCTTCTTCAGAAATTAAGACGAGTCAATGGGTTGAAAGTACTGATTTGTTGGTCATTCCTGGAGGTGAGGATTTGCCATATCTTGACAAGCTTCAGATGGATGGAATTGAATTAATTAAGTCGTTTGTTCTCAATGGCGGAAAGTTTTTAGGGATATGTGCTGGAGCATATTTTTCGTCATCATACATTAAGTTCAATGCAAATTCACAATTACCCATTGAAGGAGAACGTTACTTAAAATTTTACGAAGGAAATGCAATTGGTCCAGTGTATGATGGATATCAACCAAATAGTGAGTCAGGTGCACATATAGTAAAGATAAAGTACAATAATAGTTATGCGTATGTTTATTATAATGGAGGATGTTATTTTGATGATAATAACAGTAAAGTAGAAGGTACTTATTTTGCGTTGTATGAAGATGGCAAACCATGTGGATATACTAGAAGATATGGAAAAGGCAAAATTCTCATCACGGGATTTCATTTTGAGTTTGATGAACAATGTTGTTCTCATTTGTTAAGTCAATTAAGGTATGACGATTTTGAATTAAGAAGAGAAAGTCTTATTAGATACATTTTATCATTATTGAGTGATAGTTAACAAAGGGATATTGATTGTTTTGTACAGAAGAGAATAGACAACAAGATGAAGAGAATCATTTGAAGTTAAAGTGAGATATGTTCAATAACATAATTAAGAAATGTACTAAGAAAACGAATAAAATCAAAATGGAATTTAATAACACATAGAATATGAGTTAATAAAACAATAAAGACAAAATAAATCAATGGAGAATAATGAGGAGATTTAAAGAAAAAATAAACCAGTGTTATGATGTACAAATAATCATAACATAATACAAACATACTTTATTTGCTTAAATAGAAAGTATTGTTTTTTTGATTCATCATTTTTTCTTCTAATAAATTTGTTTTTTATTTTTGTTATTATAAAAATAAGACAATTAAAAATAGAATAATTGATTATTTCATTTTTATATCATATCAATTCCTTATAAATATCATGTTATAATTAATTGTTAAATTGTTAGAATACTAAGGAGATAGTACATTGAATTTATTAATTCAAATTCAGATTAGTGTTTGATTATTTTTATTTTGTTACTTTGAAGATAAACATGATATTCTTTCAGTGAATGAAAAATCCTAAATTAATCAAAATTATATGTGTTATGAATATTATAATAATAAACAGTAGTCATAAGACATATGAATAGATAAAATAAATATAGAATAACGAATATAAAGACAAGAGAAATATAAAAGAATAAGAAAATGGAGAATATAATATACAATAAAGAAATAATTATGAAGATAAAATGAAAGAAAATTCACAATTGAAAATGAAATTACAAAGATATAATAAAATTCACAACAATTATATTTAAACAATAAATATGAAATAAATTAATGTCAATAAGAATTATTCATTTAATTCAATACATTAATTACAATGTATCAAATACAAAAAGAAGAAAGAATAAAGAATAGAAAATGACAAAATAAAATACATGAATTACAGAATAAAATTATAATTCAATATAATATTTGAAAAAGAAAAAATAAAATAGAAAAGATGATAAATGAATAAACAGAAGAAATGATAGAAAATAACAATACTATAAGAATAAAGAAGAATAACAATCACAAATAATGAATATCAATAATTTATATAAATGAATAAAATAAAGAATAATATCAAAATAATGATAGAAAAATGAAAGAATAATAAAATATATAAATAATATACAATAATACATGAAATTGCATTTCTTACATTTTATAACAAATATGTATAAAATGATAATAATTAAATGAAATAAATTTTAATTCAATCAAATTACAACACAATAATATTTCCAAATATGAAATGAGAGCAATAAGAAATAAATAATAAAATATAGAATAAATAGAAATAAATTAGATGAAAAGATGTTTAGAAACAAACAAAATATAAAATAATAATAAAACAAATAATATAAAAAACAAAATGTAAAGTTGTAATAAATAATAGAAATAACAATATTTCATGAATAACAAATAGAAAATGAATAAAAGAAGAAATATACATATATATTCAAATATAATGTAATATTTAATTCAATTAATACAGATTTAAAAACAAATAAATAGAACTAAAATAAACAAAGAGAAGTAATAAAAACAATATTTAGTTTACAATCAAATAAACGTGAATTGAATAATGAATTAATTAGTTGAGTATATTTTATGTAATTTATCAAATAGACATTCATATAGAATGAATTTAGATGAATGAAAGTGGATAATTCAATAAATTTATTTATTTTTAACAGTAGTTAAATGAAATGTTGTTTTATAATATTTCATTGGAAGGTATTATTTAACCGTTTGATAAATAAAAACAATAAATGAATAGTGAAAATATTATACAATTCAAAATAACAATGATTTGAAGAATAAGTGATTGTAAAAGTTGAATGGTAATTTTATTTTGAAGAAGAATATAATTAATATAAATGATAATACAAAATAATCAACACAAGAAACAATAATACATAAATGAAAAGATGATAGAAATAATTGAATTATAATTGAATAAATTTCAATGAATAAAAAACAGAAGAAATAAAAGAGAGAATGATGTTAATGTATCAATTCAAACAATAATTTCATATTTTCAATAGAATTAAATAAATTATAGAATAGTATTTGAAATATTGAAAAGAAAATAATATTTCAACATTGTTGTATTAAATGGAAAAGTATTATATTTATAATAACATGAAACAATAGAAATAAAGATGAATGAAATAAGATTAATAAACAATAAAATGGAAGAATTAGAAATGATGAATGAAGTATTATTTAAATTCATATAATTGAATATTGTTATAATTATTCAAAAATAATAAAATGAAAATCAGAAACTATAAAATATGATGAAAATATCATTTATGTGAAATAAATGAAGTTTTGATGAATGATGAACT